TCAAATTCCGGATTCTTACACTTTTGTTGTCGCAGTATAAGGGAGTAGAAGCAGAAGATTTCACACCCAAGTCAGCTGATAACCAACAAAGCCAAACAATCTCAGCCGTTGTTTGTGTAGTGCTCTGATACCACTTGTTATGCGCCCGAAAGCTCTAAGCCCAATGGGTGAATATTTTTGTATGAAAAATAAAGCATGAAATACATACAACAAGAGCACAAAGATTTACGCGTTTCAGCCCTAAAGGGTACATTCACGAGCACGGTAAACTAAAATCCATTATACCAATGAAAGTTACATAAAATATTATGGAACAAACCTCGACAAAAAATCCAAGTCGAGTAAACTATTTTCAACCACTCTCCTTTCCTCCTTTTTACTTCTAACAATATCGATAAATACCAGATAAGAGACGCTAGAGCAATGAAAAACTTACTTTCTCTCTAACTAAAAAAGGAACAACCCAAAATCTCTATGGGATGCGCTTCTCTACAAGAAACAAATAAACCTCTTAATCTCCGAGAGACTAAAAGAGGCACCATCACAATGTTTATGTCAAAATGAAGTTTTTTTCTCTTTAAGAGGAAATTGCATCTTGTGCACAGGAAGCTCTAGCTCTCTCTCTCTCTCTCTCTCTCTCTCTCTTTAGAGGAACCACTATTCCCATATGGTAACTCAAATAGAGCATACAAAAATTTTATGCACTTTCATCTCATGTATATAAGATTAGGAGTCCATACTAAATAGGAAACTTCCTATGATATTACATATATCTCAAAAGACTAAGAGATATATCCATACAAGGGTTCTTATCTTTTTAGATTTCTATTTCCCTTATGAAACTTATCAATATTAATGTCAATCCCACATAATATGAGAATATCTCAATCCTACATAATATAGGTATATCTCAATCCCACAAAATATGACAATATCTCAATCCCACAAAATACAGGATTTCTTTATGTGGGTGATTTTGGATAGCACCAAATCCAATAGTTTGAGCCATAGTTCGATACTCAGGTTCAGTTGTGGACTGAGCAATACGTTTTTGCTTTTACTCTTCCAAGAAATAAGTGAGTCACCAAAAAAAATACAAAAACTTGTAGTAAACTTCCAATCAGTAGGGGCCCCCACAAAATCAGAATCAGTATATGCACGAAGCTCAAGAGTGGCAGATGAAGAGAGCAAAAAAGCATGATCAAATGTATCTCGAATATAATGAATAATATGTAAAACAACTTCCAAGTGTACATAACGAGGGGCACTCAAGAATTAACCGACAAGATGAACAGTATAAGCAATGTTCGGCCGAGAGATAGTCAGATAAATCAAACTTCCAACAAGCTGTCTATAAAATGTAGGATCAGGAAGGAGCTCACCATCTGTAGATCCCTCTTTCTAAAGATAAAAGTATATCATTGGCTGCCGGAGGGTGTACAAAATCAAAACTAAAGCTTATGGGAGTATAGAACGCTATAATGCACGACTTGTGGCTAAATGTTATATTCAATAATTTGAGATTGATTTTACTGAAACCTTTTCTCCTTTTGCTCACAGGAACTACAGTTCGCACTCTGATTCTATAGCTGATGTTCGTCAATGACCGTCATATCAACTCGATGTCAAAAATGCATTTCTTAATGGCGATCTTGCAGAAAATTTTTATATGAAGTTACCTCTTGGAGTTTCGGACCTTGAAAATGGAGTCTGTCAACTACGATGCACAGTCTATAGGATTAAACAAGTTCATCGTGCTTGGTTTGAAAATTTTAGTTCTGTTGTGACCTCCGCAGGTTTTCAACAGAGCTATCATGACCCAGACATGTTTGTCTCAGTTACACCCAGAGAACGTGCAATTTTCCTACTCTATGTTAATGATATGATTATATCTGGTGATGATGAGGCCACCATTCATCCGATAAAGGAACAACTTAGTTAACTTTTTGAGATGAAAGATTTAGGATTCTTAAAATATTTTTTGGGCTTAGAGGTTGCTTATTCTTTCAGTGGGTATTTGCTCTCTCAACTTAAGCATACCTCAGATATTGTTTCTCGAGCTCGTCTGGCTGATGACACAAAGAATATTGATATATCCAGATATGTATTTTAGTAAAGAGCGATCAATTCTTCTACCATGGCATGTTGCCACTCATGTTTTGTGGCAGTTTCCTCATAAATCAGTGGCTCAGAGTACGAATGGATAGAAGCAAGAAATGCTTGATAGTTTGGTAAAAAGGTTTCATAATCAACAAAACGACCAGGAAAAATAAATACCCGGTTACTACGGCAGATATAAGGCGTCTGAACAGGAGTAGCAGATGCATGTGCATTTGCTTGAAGTGGTTCATCAGCAGTAATTTAGTGTTCTACTACCAGACCATCTGTATGAAGGGTATGGGTGCGGTTTGAGAAACATTGAAAACATCATCAGAGAAAGGGACCAGAAAATAAGTGGAAGAGGAGTCAGCAACAGGTGAAGGGAAATGAAAAGGAATATACTCAGAAAATACCACATGTTGGGATACCAAAAGTTTCTTAATCAGGAGGTCATAACATCTATATTCCTTTTGGTGGTCAGGATAACCCAAGAAACAACATTTAACTGCTTCGGCTGACAATTTATCTCCTTCAGATGCTGGCAATAGAACAAAGTAAGTACAACAAAAAACACGAAGAATATAATAGTCTGGGAGTTGAACAAACAATTGTTCAAAAGGGGAACATCCGGACAAAGTAGCAGAAGCCATAATATTAATTAGATAAACAACTATGCGAACAACTTTTGCTCAAAAGACCTTTGGAACTGTGGCTGACAGATAAGAGTTCGTGCAATTTCTAAGATATAGTGGGTTTTGTGTTCAGCAATACCATTTTGTTCAGGATGTACAAGACGTTTGGTGTTGAATATTTTCATTAGAATGTAACTTTTGAAACATCCCACTAATATACTCCCTCCCAGAATCTAATCATAAGACCTTGATTTTGGTTGAGTTTCAATGTATGAATAAAACTAGACAAAGATGTCATATAGTTCACTACGGTTATTCATAAAAAAAACCCAAGTATATTTAGTGTGATCATCAATAAAATGACATAATATTGTTACCCCTTCTTTGATGCAAGTGGAGCTGGTCCCCAAACATCAGTATGCACTAGATTAAACATAGAAGCAAATATTGAATTGCTATGATTGAATGGTAACACATGCATTTTAGAGAGTTTCTAACAGATGCATTTTAGAAGAAACAAAATTAATAATACCACGAGAAAACAAAAATTCTAATTGAGAGATAGAAATATGACCTAGACGTTGATGCCACAAAGATCGGTTATCAGGTATTGCAGTACATGCAGAGGGTTTAGTGGGAGTTTTTAAATAAAGATGGTCCAGATAGTAGAGATCACTCACTTTATGCCCAGTCCTAATAATTTTCCCTGACTGTCGATCCTGCACATGACATCCAAAGGGAGTGAACATAACATTACAATTGGAACGGGTAATCTGGCCAATAGAAAGCAGATTTATAGCAATGGAGGGAACATGATAAACACCATAAACATTCAATTTACCAGAATGATCAGAGGATGTAGTAATTGAGCCAACTTTATAAACTTTTATAGCGGCACCATCAGCAGTACGAATAGTATCAAAACAAGTTTTACAATCAACTAGAAAAGACTGATTAGTTGTGAAATGAAAAAATGCACTAGAGTCTATTAACCAGGAAACTGAAACATTATTACCTGAAAAAGCAGATGCAGTCCTTTGGGGTGACCGGGATTGTGAGAGCAAGGACTTCAATTGTTCTAGTACAGTGCTACTGTTACTAAGCCAGTGCTAGCAAAATATTCTAATTTCTCCATTATACCAGATAAAAGAACTATCATAGATTCACTTTATACGACTAGATCAGACTTTGATTGGACAGGAAACAACATGAGGTACCTAAGTGAATAATAGGCACAAGCGTTGGCTTCTTTTTTTCTTTTTCTTTTGGATCTTTTCTTTCTTTGTTCTTTTAGAAAAATTGACCCGTCACTCTAGCCAACCCACAAGTCACAAATGTAGTCCGTCAACCACTCTACCCAACACAAAATGTGATAAACAGGACTTTTAAAATTATGTGCATCCTCTCTTCATGTCAAAGTTAAAGCAATGGGAAAAGCTAAAACCTAAAACAAGAGGAGAGAGAGAGTAAAAAAGTCAAAGACCAAAAAAGAAAGACAATTTCTCACAACGAGGAAAACAAGAGAGAACCAAAAAGACAAGAAACATACCGACTTTAATGTTTGGCGAATATCCGGTAGTTTCATTGAGTGGCTTTCAGATTTGAGATGGCGGTTTCAGATTTCATATGGTAGTTTCGGTATTGTTTCCGATCTGGTAGTTTTGACAAAGTGGTTATCGGATTTCAGATGGTGGTTTCCATAATGGTTCAGACCGATCCTACATTTTACAAACAACTTGTTGGAAGCTTGATTTATCTTCCACTCTTGAGCTTCGTGCTTATATTGATTTTCTGATTTTGAAAGGGCCACTACTGATCGAAAATCTACTACAGGTTTTTTTTTATGGTGGTTTTGACACAGTGGTTTTGCAAGGTGGTTTTGATGAACGGTTTTGGGCTCCAATATCTAATAGAGTAGGCTCTGATGCCATGCGAGAAATCTCTTTGTTTCTATATTAATCTTGCGAGAAAAAATCCCATATATGTATACAAAGATGGCATACAAGAAAGGAATGAAAATTATATCCTAATACAGCCCGTCACTACAGCCTGCCTGATCAAGGCAACATTATCCCATCTATAAAGTAAATAAAGAAAGCATATACAATTTCATATGAATATTTCAAATGTATGAAGATCTATAAAGATCTCATCTTTATTTGAAATGTCTCCCTTATCCTCCTAATTTATATCCTTAATACAACCCAACTCTTGTGGGCTTATTAGGGCTTATTTAATGGAGCTCAGAGTCTCCAAAAATATTGTTAGTTAGTCCTCAAAACAATCTATGGTTGCACCAAGAAGCCATTCATCCAATTTTTTATTGGTGGCAATATTCATCTCAACCATCTCTCCTTGTTCATCATCAAAGAAACCTTCTTGTATATTAGGAATAGCAAATATCTTCATCTCAACCTTTCCCTCCTCTCCAATATGGTTAGCCAAGTCTTTCATCTTTGCCTTCTCCTCGTCCTCCTTTCTCTCATTGCCCTCATTAATGAAGTGCAATATCTTTGCAATTGTGATTATATCTTTGCCTTGGCCCCAAAACAAGAGGTATAATGCATAGGTGACTATGATAATCCCCACTACACTGCAATACCAAAGCCAAAAACAAACACTTAGAGAGAAAGAGAGAAAGAAAGAGAGAGAGAGAAGGGGGGGGAGGTTTATATCCTCACTTTCCCACATGAATGTCCACATGAAGAATGATTGGCTCTGTGATTATCCTAGCTCCCATGCATAGAGGGCTAAACTCAGAATCAAAGAGAGGACCTATCTTCTTGATGCAACAACTTTGAACAAAGAATAGCAAAGCGGAGCACATGATACCCTATAGAAACACATGAAGAATGCTTGGATATAAAAAGTTGAACAAAATACTTCTATCATAACTTAAGTCCCACCAACCCCTTTCTTTCTAATTTGAATATTTACTTGACAAAGTTGGCAAAACAAAGTAAGGAAAATTATAAAATAAGACAAGTTATCTTTGGAAGATGAAATCACAACCAACTTTATTTATTGCATGTGAAATTAGTTGACTGGGAATGTCTCATTGACCAGGCTTAAAGTCCAACAAAATAATTGTTGAACATTGTAACATAACTCATGTTGTTAGATCTTACATCAGTTGTGGGTGATTATTGTCTTCTTATACCAAGAGTAAATGATGTTATAACATACAATCCCATAAAATTAAAGGCAAGAAATAGATACCAATATGCTTGAAATAGATATTAGTGTGTGATAAAACTATTAAAGCACATGAAATTTTGGTAAAACTTAAGGGCATTTAAGTAATTATGCTCAATTTGGAAACATTAAAACCATTTATTCATAATAAATATTTCAAACTAAAGGGTATTTAAATAATTTTGTGTAATTTTGAAACATTATAGCCATCTATTTATAGTAAATATTTTAACAACGAAAGCCATCAAAGCTGGAAAGGAGCTTAGGCGGAGCCCACCCCGTACCTCAATTATTCGTTGTGGCCTCCATTTCTATTGCCCAATTAAAAAACCACTAACTAATTCGAAAATGGTTAGGGGCATATAATCCCCACTGAATTACCAAAAAAAGAAAAAGAAAAACAGAAAAAAGCAATGGATGGATTTTTGGATTTTAATTTACACGGGGACATATAGAACCAAAGGAAGCTGAGCAAGAGTTTCATTTAACACTTAAACATGCAGTAAAGTGTCTTCTCACACTGTAAGCATAAATAAAGAGCTTAAAGCTGCGGTGCGGTCTTTCAGCAGGGGATCTTTCAAAGATAAAAGCAACTACTCCTCCCTGAGTGCTAACCATGAACAACATTACAATCAACGAAAGTGGACCCGAATTATCCTCGACACCCCAAGTCTGTCAAAAAAACAAGAAAAACAAAGTAAATAAAAAGAAGAGAGAGATCAATGTGAAGAGCCAAAGAGGAGGGAAATAGATCTTCTTCTACCTGATAAATCATCCAAGATGAACAAGCATTGACACTTAGTAGAAGCAAAATGGGACCCAAGATCCAGTTATCCTTGGAAGAAAAATATGGATCAGTAACCAAGAGAGATTTTGGTGTTATGAGGTCCTTGGTGAGCCTCATGACCACAGGAAGCACCAAAACATGGCAATTTTGTTAAGAGCAAAGAATCCAAGGCTTTCTATAAATCATAGAAAAAGGAAAGGTATCTGCAATTCCTTAGGAAGAAAAGAGGAAAGGCTAATATTGAGGAGCCCTATTTGTATCCCCTTGCCTTGTAGCGGGTGAATGTAAAATATTAGTAAGTTTATAAACTATTTTATTCCTTTTCTTTATTAAATTTATGTTCAAGTGCCCGTCAAACTTAGCTTAGCAAAAACAAATGCCAGTCAAACCAATATATTAGAACCTTACAATATTTGGCATGGAAATGAAGTTTACCACTTCGTGCTGACCTTCAAACCTTTCTCTCTCCATTATCAATGGTGGGGGATGCAACTATTCAGGTGTTCTCCTTCCAAAGTCTGTTTAAGAAATAGATTAGGAGTTGCAACAGGCAGGGTGGGCTGGGCCGTGACTGGTCCCAGCCATTGACCTGCCAAAAGGGCCCTGGCCCAAGCCCTATCAGGGCCGAGCTGGGCCAAACAAAAAAAAATATAAAAGAAATAAAAGAAAAAGAAAGAGAAAAGAGAGCCCGGATGGATCGAACTAGCTTGGTCCTACCTTCAGGCCGTAGTTGCCTTGCCCTGGCCCTAGCCCAGCCCTCGGGCCACATTTAGTGCCCAAACCTTAGTTTTTTGGGCTGCCTCGGCCGGGCCGTGCCATCCTGGCACCTTAAAAATTACGTATCGAATTCTTTTCTACTAGTGGATAATCCACACCATGCCGTCATGAATCTAAAAGAAATATTGATTTAGTGTTTTTAAATTTTATTTACGATTCATTCTTCACCATTTATTTTAATTCGAGATCTGCTCTCATTTATGAGGTCAATTTAAAGCCAAAATACATTTCGAGTAACTTAGGATACGATGTCTTTTGATCCTTTGTCCATTTCTAAAGTCGATTTTTGGATGATGACCGCGGAAAGTGTTTGGTGAGTCCGCCGACTCACTCTATTCTTGTGCGGTCTCCCTATGCGATGTATTTTAGAAATATATTTCCTTCCAAAATTTTAGAGTTTGATAATCTCAGCCAACAATGATCTAACAATGGAATTTATAACTCCCGAGGGAGTACACAATCCATTTACAACCCCTAGAATAATCTCAGCAAAAAGAAATTCTCAATAAACTTCTATGTGACATAAAAAATGGGAAAGTATAGAATGAGATTATTTACCTTTGATATAAAGTGGTCATAATAATCTTGACCATTGGATGTGAAATTGTGTGGCTGTAATTATTCTATTGACCAAGCTCAAACTTCAAAAGAAATTTTTTCGAACTTTATGAGATATCTAAGCTATCAAATTTCATATAAAATGGTTGTAAAGAATTGTGACCACTTTGTATCAAAGATAAATGGTCTCATTGTATACAATTGCATAAAAAATAAGCCTCAAGATTGAATAAAGACTGTCCAATTTTAAAGGGCTAGATTCAAATGCCACAAAATTTAAATTTTGATTGGTTTTTCATTTAAAAATAATCTAGTGATTGTTTTATGGTTTCCAGCCTTAAAAAATAAACCCACGTATTTTGATTAAGGGATCAGATACACAGTATGCTCCTGCAGAAGCACAAACACATATATGCTTTCATTTACCATTTTCAATCCCCATTTTGGAATGGCAAGGTAGTAGCGGTTAGGTTTGTCAGTCAAAGTTGGAAAGAATCGGAACCTGAGGACCATAGTACGGGTAACCAGATATGATTAAGTCTATGATCAACGCAACTCTTTCTCTTTCTCTCACTTTTGACAAAATAAACTCTTTCTCTCTCTCAATCACAATGTGAACAAGTCGTAATGCAAGTGGAAGAATTCCAACGACAGTAGTAATATTATATGGGATTGTATACATTAAAACCAATTTACTTTTCGTATAAAGAGGTCACAATTAGTTACAATCATTCGATGTGAAATTTGATAGTTTGGATATGTTACAAAGTTCAAAAAAATTTCTTTTGAACTTCGATTTTGTTCAATAGAATAAATGCAACCACTGAACTTTACATTTAATAGTCAAGATTATTTGTGACCACCTTAGGTATATCTGTATATACTTTTCCATATTATATCAATTCATAGACTACACCCAAGCTCTCTACTGACATCAACCTTATGCGATTTGGGAGATTTTTTGAGCGGCCTGAACAGCCTGAAATTCCGTTGGTTGAGGTCCACTGCCTCCCAAGTTTGTCAAACAGTACATCTTTCGAGGTCTCATCTCTAGTGGACCTCTCATAGATGGTTTCGCCTTTTATTTTAAGGTGAAGTTTCTGTAATGGTTGGGCCTTATGCTAAAAAGTAGAGCCTCAACTCAGAACCTCGTCTTGAAAATATTTTGGGCATGGGAAACCTTGTGATGATTCTAAAATCAATTTTCATTACCAATTATAAAAGTAAAAGTTGTAGCTCAAAAAATGGTACGAATCTCATATATATGTGAAATTTGAAAATGAACAGTCTAAATAATGTGTTACAATATATATTTTTTTCAGGTCTTAAAATCCTGTTTTAAGTGATATTTAAGTCAACTTTATTTTATTTTTATCAGGCTATATTTTAACCTTTTCCATTATTTTATATGACCCATATTTAAAACTCCCTTGATCGATCTGGATCAAGAGCTAATGGGAGCTGATTCTCTTCCGGATAATTATTCAGGACTAGACCATGTCAATTACACTAAGATGGCTTCTTGCCAAATCTGAGTATTCAGGTGTCGATTAGGAAGGAAGTGCTCGTGATCAAAGTTCTTCTGCTGGTTTCTTATTTCTTGTTTGATTCTCGTACCTCTTGGCAATGTAACAAGGAAAAGTATTCCGTCCACATCATGTGGACGGGTAGAAGGCTGCACAAGCAACTTTCTTATGGTTGAGATTTCACGAGGCTATATCTAATGGCAAAAAATTTATCTCATATTTTATTTTCTATTTAAATAAAATATTTATCTAAATTTTTAGTTGTAGGCTTATTTTTATAAATATAATTAAATAAAAATGCTTAACAAATATTTTAGATAGAAAAATAACCAAAATACCCTTAAATTTATTTTAATTAATTTTTATTAAAAATATTTTATTAGTATTTTTTATTTAATTCTAATTATGAAAATAAAGATAACACCCAAATTTCACATTAATATCTACTTTTTAAGTAAAAAATAAAATAAAAATATTCATTTTTTGCCCTTGGATGAGGTTGGTTCAATTTGAAATATTAAAGTTGCTTGTGCACCTTTCAATCATCCACAACATGTGGACGCAACAGAAATCCATGTAAGAAACGAGATGTAATTGCTTGTGTGAGTGCCGAAGCTGAGAACTAAGCTCTTGCAAATACTACACCTGAAATTGTCTAGTTATGGTGGCTCTTTTAGGATATCGGTGTCGTTCACTCTGGTCTACACTCCACTTATATTGTGGGAACAAGAGTGCAATTTATGTCTCTCATAATGTATTCGGCCAAACACATTAAAATCAATTATTACTTCACACCCTTAAATCTACCTTTTATTTCATTGAAGGATCAAGTTGCAGATCTTTTGACAAAGACCAAGCCTATTATGTGTTTTTGCCACTTCTTGTCCAAACTCCAACTACTTTCTCTCAAAACATCTTGAGTTTAACGGTCGTGTTAAAAAAAGTATATCATTGCACAACAAAAATAACGGAAAATGTGTATATGTGCTAGATGAGATGTGCCAAGTGTATAAATCCACCATGTCTCCTTTGCCTATATTTTTGGAAAGCCACTATAACACTTGATATTGAGAAATTAAAGGAATTTTTGGGCGTGGCAAGTTTGTGAGTCCGATTAGAAAAATCTGGTCCATAGAAGGGGTTATTTGGCTTCCTTAAAATGAGAGATATTTTTTATAACGTTGACAAGTTTAGTAAGGTATTGACGTTGGAATTTAGCAGGTTGCTAGATTGAGGTCACGGTTGTATCTGATATTCAAGTACATTTAAGAGGTTGGCCCCCCATTGAAATAATAAATATTAGTCCCAATCGAATAGCCTTCTCTCACTGAACTTTTTGTTGGTCCATCACCTCCCCCAAAATCATTTTATTTTCATCAATGTTTTTAAACTCGCCTGAACCTCAAACACAATCACCTTAACTGAGTAACTCAGCCTAGTCCGAGTGGACTCTGCCGAGTAGTGTATGGTGTTGGATTTGGTGCTATCTAAAATCATCTATATAAAGAAATCTCATATTATGCCGGATTGAAATTAATATTGATAAGTTTTCGAAAGGAAATAGAAATAAAAATAGATTAGGATTCTTGGATATATCTCTTTGTTTTTGATATATATGTAACATCTGTAGGAAGTTTCATATTTAGTGTGGATTCTTAATCTTGTATAAATATGAAATGAAGGAGCAAAAATTCGTGTGCCCTATTTGGGTAACTATATGGAAAATGTAATTTCCTCTATTGAGGGAGAGATGGGTAGAGCCTTTGTACATAAGATGCAAGGTTTCTTCTTAGAGATAAGAGAGTATTTCCTTTTAGAGAGAAAAGAGTTTTCTATGGAGACAAACATTGTGATGGTTCCTCTTGTAGTCTCTAAAGATTGAGAGGCTTATTTGTTATAGAAAAGTGATTCTCATGGAGATTTTGGGTGGTTTCCCATAGTTTGAAAGAAAGTCTGTCGTTGCTCTCACATCTCTATCTGGTGTTATCGGTAATGATTGCCATAAATAACGAGAATGAAGGGACAGTGGTTTAAAAAGGTTTGCTCGATTTGGGTTTTTGTCGAGGTTTAGAGATGTAACTCTCTGTTTCAAAATCTTTGATGTAACTTTCATTGGTATAGTGAATTTTAGTTTGCCGTGCTTGTGGATGTAGCCGTTTTAAGATGAACCACATAAATCTTTGTGTTATTGTGGTGTGTGTTTGTTTCGTGATTTATTTCTTGTACTTTATTTGTCAAAAATCAACCAATCGAGTT